AAGCTGATTCAGATTTTATTATGAATTATGAGGGAAAAGATTCTGGAACAAATTTTTATTTGTTGTTTTGGGGTTTTTTGACAAGCTCACAGATAATAAACAGAGGTAGCCTGACATGTTCTGAGTAGACACTGGGCTTTCATTTGTGTTAAATGAAGGTACATCTTTGAATTCACAAGTCAGCATCCGCAACTGAGTAAAATGTTGGTGTAACACTTTCTTTATCCAAAGTTTTCCACTCAAGTCCAATGACTGACATGTCATATATAAATGTTGCCTGTTTACATGAGTGCTGACTGCTGCCAGATGTGGGGTCATACTAACGTGTTGGTTTTAAGTTTTAATGATGGTTTGAGGCTTATCCAGTGTGTGCTTTACTCCTTGTTATCTCCTGTTGTTAACTTTGACCGTGTTAAGTCGGAAGAAACTATTATGAGGCGTGTTTTGCATCAGAGCATTCACGCGTCGCATCAGCTCAGATATACTTTAGATCAGGGGTATCAAACCCATTTTACATTCTGGGCTACATATAGCTCAATTTGATATCAAGTAGGTCAGACCAGTAAAACTATTGGCTAATAACATATAGGCTTACAGTTGAAGAAAAAATGAAGGTGTAAATTACAGGAAAACCACTGGCAGTTCATTACCTCCCAGTTACCTACTTATCATTTAATTAAAAAACAGACATTTTCTGTTAACTTACAATATGTTTTAATTTCTATAATGAAGCATGAAAAAAAAGGTTTTCTGTTATGTGATGGAATACTAACAATAATTAGAGAGTCCAAAGTTTATGCCCTTGTGAAGATTTCACATTTTCCAAAGCCATTCGAGGGGCCTTCTCTGGCCCCCGGGCCATACGTTCACCTTCCCCGCTTTAGAGGATATTAGCCGTTTTAAAATGAGGATTTTGAATCAGACACTTCAAATGTTTCCCATCCTTCGGTGTTTGATATCTGATGGTGGCTTTGGTTGTTCTGCATCATGTGTTTTTCTCATCAGGTCATTTGTTTGTATTTATGTGTCCTTTTTTCCTGTCATTATGAATATCATAGATTTATAATTTATTATGTATGATAAAGGCATATGTTTTTAAAATAAATACTACTACAAATCCAGCATTGTCTTCACTAAACGAGACTTTTTTTCCCTACAATCTTTGACCAAGCAGAAACCATTTTAATGAGCTCTGTGAGCTCTGATGGATGGAATAGTCAAACGTAAAATCAGAGGATTCCTTTTATTTGCAACAGTCATAGATTCGGTAAAGGGTCATTCAATATAAAATCAAATATGAAAAACGTTCCCACTTTGACAAACTTGTTTTGGATCTAATCTGAAATGTTGCAACAATGATATAGAACATGTGAACACCAGTGAAGTTTCTCAGTTTCACAGCAGTAATGTACAGTACTGCATGTGCATATTTACTGCATTTCAATAGCAGTCCTCTAATCTTCTTGACCACTTATGGGACTTTAGATGTCCAGTGTCAATGTTGAAAAGCCTGCTTAGCTTCTGAAATCAGATGAGATAGAGTATGTCCAGAGCAAAGCTATGAGATGAGCCTGGTTATCAAACAGTAGGTAAAACAGAGATCTTTCATGCGATCCACCTAACCCAAATGGTAATAAAAGCCTTGAAAATGTATTTATATATATTGTATATATTTGCAGGACCTTTAAAATTGTACATGGCCTTATTAAATATGCTAAATTTATTGTACAAAAACTTAGTGTAAACAGACTTATTCCAGTATACAGCAGGTGCTTGATAATGTACTGAGAGACCACACCATGTCACTGCAAGAATCAGGATTAAGACACAATGAAAATAGCCTGTTAGTATTAAATATTAGTCTTGAGAATAATCACAGATGTAAATGTATTTTATTAAAAGCTCAGCGTAACACCACGTAAGCCCACTTGTTTTAAATCCTTTAATTATGACAATGAAGCTTGTTCAAAGCTCAATATGTAAACAAAGAATGTACAGAATTAAGCAGTTTTACAGGGTCGTAGTTGTTACATCTGTTGTCAGTAAACTAGACCAAGTACATCAGTTATTTGTCATGCAAGTGCCTTCACAATCACGTGAAACTCATTTTTCACTAACATCATCCTGCACTGTGAAGCGTGAATGAGTAACATGTCAGGAATGGTTTGGCTTGGTGGATTTCTGCCACACATTATCATGTAAACCTAAGAAAAACACATAGTGAGTAAAATATCTCCTGACTAGAGGTACACGTCTAAACAGTCTAAGCGGGAAGTCGACTATAAAGCTTTGTCCCAATAACTAACGAAGAAGTAAGGAATGTATCATCCTGCTTCCCTCCTGTTTTCTGAGATTGTCAAAGTTCATCACATCTAAAATCACAAAGGCTCAAAACCGACTTTTAAAGCATCAAAATATTGCACCAAACTGCATTTCATTATAACTTAAAAGCAAATCTTAACAATGTAATACTGAACTCAAAGTTTCAACATTCACAGAAATCAAGTGTTAAAAAGTAAAAGGGGGCCACTAACCAAACTATCATCTGCAAAATATTTACACCAACAACAGCTGAAAATGTTTGTTCACCAAGTCTTAATGGCACAAAGCTTATTTTATCTTTGTTACATTACTAGATCTGACTTCTTGTGGTTTGAACAGTCATTATTTGAGTTTACATACTTTTGACTAATGTTCATAAATTAATTAGATGAAAACAACACAGTGATTAAATGATCAAAGCGCTTCTTGACTGGCCGAAAACCAAAAAGTACATCAGCATAATGTGTTTGTATGCATTTCCTGTTAATGGTTATTTAAGCTGTAGCTGACTCGAATTAATAACGATAAAGACGTTTGGCCTCAACAACAAACCAAAGGGAGCTCAACACGCTCTAGTTTAATGAAATGCATGCAAGTAGCAATTAATTTTTTTTAAGTATCTTCCATCTGCCAGCACATCAACTGCAAATCCAACACTCAATCAGACAGAAGGTTTTAAATACAGAGGCTTAAAGCAGAGCCAAATCACGTAGATTAAAATATTCTGATATTTAGTTTTGCTAAATATTAAATTGTTGAAAACAGGACAACACAGATTTTGGTTGCCTTTCATGTATGTGCTTACATAGGTACTAGTCAAACCCTCACAAAGGCCTATTCAAAAACTGGAAATATTTCTAGAGGACACAAAGAGGTGATAAACCAAACTATAAGGAAGCTTTTTTGCCACCACACCAAAAACAAACAAACATACATTTTGACTAGGACTCTCAACATTAACGCATTAACGTGTCATCATGATTAATGTGATTAAAATTTTTGGAGTGCAGAATGGACAAGCTTTGGACAAACTGCCCGAAACGCATTGACAGAGACATTTCAGGGATTTTGAGTCATTCTGCAATTCAGATGGGTTAATAGCATAAAATTTTAATCGCGTTAATTGTGATGACGGATTAATCTGCGTTAATGTTGACAACCCTAATTTTGAGCCGCAAGTAAAAAATTTATTTATTTCAAGTTATTTTCTCAGAAGTTAGTTAGTCAAAGATTTTACTCATGGATGCCAAAAAACGTTTGTTGTCCATACAGCTTCCATACATGCTTGTTGTTTTTGTGACTTACATTATTGAAGTCAGCAGCAAGTCGATAGACTGTGCTCCGTCAGCCAAACACAGTCTATCGTTTTTGCGTCCCCTGTAAATCTTTCAGGTGTTGTCTGTGCAGCACTTCTCTGTAGTTGGTTATTTTCTATGAATGTTTCTAAATCTGCTTGTGTTTTTTCTATTTACCTGTGCTTTTAAAACAAAAAAACTGCAGTGTATTCAACTTTCTCTGATGCTGCTGCTACTTGCTTGTGTGGATGTATGAAGGAAAGTACACAGTATCCACAATACCGTTGAGACCTTAGCACCAAAATGATTAAGAACAAAGCAATGCTATCAGTTATAAAACCACTTTAAGTCACTAATGCATCAGAGTTCATGAAAATACTTGAAAATGTGTCACAAAACACGTGTGATTTTCACTGTCAGCATAAAGTGAGTCACTACCCATCAACCAAGTCTGAACCATCAAGAGGGACACAAACATGAAGCAGCTCCCAGCATTAAAAATTTCACTCTTACATATCAATATATCTATACATCAATTAAGTGTACTCAGCTGTATTCTGCGCAAATAGGAAAATATGCACATTAAAAGTCAAGTGAATTTGAAATAAACTTTCATCTGATTAAACTACTCCGAGTTCTTGGCATAAATTTGTGTGTCTGTGTGCACACACAGGAAATGACGTATTATTATATACGTTCACACCATTGTTCACTTTACCTCAGAAGAACAAGGCTCTATCTTTTCGACATGTCCCACTGTAGTTTGAGATCTATGTATAAAAATATGGGTACATCTTATACAGCATGTATTTAAAGGGGCTGCATTAATGTATGGCTTTGACATACGTTTGGGACTCCTCATCCTCAACTAAACTTGTGTATTACAGACGTATCCATTATTTTTACATTTGTTATAAAGTATCTTACTCTGTCAAATACATATTATTGTACTGTCTTAGTAAAAGTGGTTTATAGAAACATGGAGGAATAAGCCACACAGTGAAACTTAACATTGAAGGAAAGTCAGCTTCCATCCTGAGAATCTGTTTGAATCCGTTTCATGTTATCATTTACATGTGTCGGTGTTTAACCCTCAAGTGACCATGCTCCTTTAGCCACTAAAATGACCGAGTGTGGTCATTTATGTCCCTATTATATTATATGCAAGAACTCTTTTTTTAAAGGGCTCTGTTAGTGCTTATCATACCTATGCTCTAATACACAGGTGTCGAACTCCAGGCCTCGAGGGCCGGTGTCCTGCAGGTTTTATGTGTGTCCTTGATCCAACACAGCTGATTTAAATGGCTAAATGACCTCCTCAACATGTCTTGAAGTTCTCCAGAGGCCTGGTAATGAACTCATCATGTGATTCAGGTGTGTTGACCCAGGGTGAGATCTGAAACCTGCAGGACACCGGCCCTCGAGGCCTGGAGTTCGACACCCCTGCTCTAATATCATTCAATAATGCTTTTTTATGCTCTTTTGCATTGTTTATGCAAAAAAGACCTTATTGTCTCTCTGTTACTTCTATTGAAACTATTTTCTTTGTTTCAATAATACTAGAAAAAAAAAAGATTCATTTTAAACCTTGAGGTATGTTTGTTTTACAGCATGCCAATTTTAACATTTAAAAAAGGAACTGCTGAAAACTCTAGATGAAGTAACTATCAAATTCATAGTAGGGGACATTAAAGTAATCCCAGTATAAATATAGTCCTACTTGGCCACTTGAAGTTTAAACTTTAGAGGTGAGAGGCAGTGATGGCTTCAGTTTTGTGTTTGTTGTGTTTGTTGTCTAGACCCTCTACATCATCCTGATGTACAGAGGTCTTTTTTCCTGTTTGCGTCCTATCGCGAGCGAGCCGAAAAGCAACGCATGTACTCAGTTAGCCAGGGGTTGAACTCAGGTTGGACCACTTTTCTGGCCTTGTCCAGGTCAGCAGACTTGGCTCTCCGCCGCTCAGACCGCTGAGTCTGGATCTGATGCTCCACCTCCCGCCTGGTCTTAGCACGCAGAGCCGATTCATGGATCTATCAGGTAAACAAAAATCCAATGTAACAACAAGCTTCTGTATGTACCTGTCAACAAATCCACTATGACAGTAAAATAACCTCATTAGTCGAAGCCACTGGGCCGACGTTGTGCGTCTTCCTTCCTGCAGTGTCTGCATCTTTCTCCCCCGACCCATACAAGGCGAAAGGATGTCTGCTCTCCTTACTGTCCTCTCTGGGCAGTCGAGATGGTGCAGGCCTGACCCGCTGTGATCGCCGGGGTTGCCTCAAGGACTTTGAGGGTTTACTCTGCTGTGGTCGGGGTCCTTCAGAGTCTCTCTCTATAAACAGAAAAAGCAAACGGGCTAAAGCACCACCAACATGGAAGAGGAACTCACCAAATAAACCAGAGGTACTATAAACTATCTATGGACGTTGTTTATAACAGAGAGTTGTTTGCTAAAAGTAAGTAAGTAAGTAAAATTTATTTATATAGCGCTTTTCACAGATAAAAATCACAAAGTGCTTTACAACACAGGAAATGGGAATATAAAAACAATATAACAGTAAATAAAACAATGTAAAACAATAAAACTATAAAAACAGCATAAGAGGAAATTAATCAAATGCTTTTCTAAATAAAAATGTCTTCAGC